TTGCCCTGTTGAATGAACGAGGTGTGAACGAGCAAGGCCTGGAAGGCAGCACCTCCAGCCAGCTGCAACCCTTGGAGAGGGGATGGAAGCCAGACTCAAGAACAATAAAACTTGTCAGGTGGGCTCAGGACAGAAGATCAGACGTACTGACGGCCTTGGGAGTGGGGAGCGAGCACCTCCTTTGGAAAACACCCTCTCTGAAAATAAACGTGGCAGCATTAGGACAAACACCCAGAGGGAAGCGGCACAGATGACCAAGGGACACAGACGCAGATTCTGAATCTGGGACAGATTTGCATGCGAGGGAAGCGGCTATAAATGTGAGGTGTCTCGCAGGGGACCCCGGGGTCTCGTCTTGTCAACACGGGGAGCATCGAGCCGGATCGGCAGAAGCCCGGCTTCACCCCGCCCCCATCAAACTCACCTGGCCAGTGAAGTGAAGGGGAGCACCTCCTTGGTAACAACAACAAGACGGGGTGTGCGTGCGTGTGTGTAATATAGGTCATATGCATACGATGATGGATACATGGATTACCAATAAATGTGGCACTTTGCCTTCTCCCCCCCCCGAAAAGATCCTCTGTGAAATACTTGAAGTACAACAGTATCCTCTCACTTATTAACACACTTAGTGAAGGATCTTAGAGATCGCACCTGCTGTAGAGAGAGGAAACCTCTCTCTTTCTCTCTCGCCTTCTCTCCCAGGACAGCAAATTCCTGCTCCAAGTCTCCCCCTGCTCTGATCTGAGCACCAAAAACTCCCCCTTCCCGCCTTAAACAATTCCCAAGGCCGCTTGCTTTGGGGGATGTCAATTATTAACTCAATGAGTCTCCGGCAGGTCCAGGGGCCCCTGGGACATTCACACCCTGCTGGCTTCCTCCATCCCTGCCTGATCCCAAAACCCAGCCCCACCCCACCATCAGTGAGGAATTCCCTCCTTTCCCCCTGAAACCCAGAGCTGATCCCGGCGATTACAGCCGGTAAGCCTGACTTCGGTACCGGGTAAACTGGTTGAAACTATAGTAAAGAACAGAATGATGAGACCCAGAGATAAACACGATTCGTTGGGGAACAGTCAACGTGGTTTTTGGAAAGGGAAATCATGCCTCACAACTCTATTAGAATTCTTTGAGAGGGTCAGCAAGCACGTTCTGTTCACTATCTTCGTCAATGATTTAGATCATGGCAGAGAGAGGACACTTACAAAAAGTTTGCAGATGATCCCAAGCTGGGAGGGGTTGCAAGTGCTTTGGAGGAGAGGATTAAAATTCAAAACGTTCTGGGCAAACTGAAGAAATGATCTGAAGTAGAAAGGATGAACTTCAAGAAGGACAAATGCAAAGTCCTCCACTTAGGAAGGAACAGTCAGTTGCACACACACAGAATGGGAAATGACTGACTAGGAAGGAGTCCTGCGGAAAGGGATCTGGGGGTCACAAGCTATAGATGAGTCAATAGTGTAACGCTGTAGCAAAAAAAAAAAAAACAAATGTCATTCGGGGATGTATCAGCAGGAGTGTTGTCAGCAAGACACACAAAGTAATTCTTCCGCTCCACTCCGCGCTGATTAGGCCTTAACTGGAGTAGTGTGTCCAGTTCTGGGCTCCACATTTCAGGAAAGATGTGGACAAATTGGAGAAAGTCCAGAGAAGAGCAACAAAAACGATGAAAGGTCTAGAAAACAGGACCTGTGAGAGAAGATTGAAAAACTTGGGTCTGTTTAGTCTGGAGAAGAGAAGCCTGAGAGGGGACATGATAACAGTTTTCAAGTACATAAAAGGTTGTTACAAGGAGGAGGGAGGAAAATTGTTCTTGTTAACCTCTGAGGACAGAACAAGAAGCAATGGGCTTAAATTGCATCAACTGTCAGGGTGGTTAAGCACGGGAATAAATTGCCCTGGGAGGTTGTGGAATCTTCATCATTTGGGATTTTTAAGAGCAGGTTGGACAAACCCCTGTCAGGGATGGGCTAGATAATACTTAGTCCTGCCTTGAGTGCAGGGGACTGGACTAAATGACCCTCCGAGGTCCCTTCCAGTCCTAGGATTCTACGTGGACAAGAGGGATCCAGTGGATATAGTGTACTTAGGTTTTCAGAAAGACTGACAAGGTCCCTCACCAAAGGCTCTTACGCAAAGTAAGCTGTCATGGGATAAGAGGGAAGGGCTTCTCATGGATCAGTAACTGGGTAAAAGAGAAGAAACAAAGGGTAGGAATTAATGGTCAGTTTTCAGAATGGAGAGAGGTAAATTGGGGTGTCCCCAGGGGTCTGTACTGGGCCCAGTCCTATTCAACGTATTCATAAATGATCTGGGGAAAGGTGCCAAACAGAGAGATGGCGAAGTTTGCAGATGATACAAAATAAGTCAAATTAGTTAAGTCCAAAGCCGACTGCGAAGAGCTACAAAGGGATCTCACACAACTGGGTGACTGGGCAACAAAAGGGCAGATGAAATACAATGATCACAACTGCAAAGTAATGCACATTGGAAACCATCATCCCAGCTCTACATAGACAATGACGGGGTCTAAATTAGCTGTTGCCACTCAAGGGAGAGATCTGGGAGTCACTGTGGAGAGTTCTCTGAAACCATCCACTCCATGTGCAGCGGCCGTCAAAAAAGCCACCAGAATGCTGGGAATCATGAAGAAAGGGACAGAGAATAAGACAGACAATAGCATGTTGCCTCTAGATAAATCCATGGGACGGCCTCACCTTGAACACCTCATGCAGATGTGGTCCCCCCCAGCTCAAAAAAGATCGATTGGACTTGGAAAAGGCTCAGAAAAGGGCAACAAAAATGATGAGGGGGATGGGACGGCTTCTTTTCAGCTTGGAGAAGAGACAGCTCGGGGGGGGATGATCAAGGTCTATAAAATCCTGACGGGTGCGGAGAAAGCGAATAGGGAAGTGTTATTTACTCCTTCTCATCACATGAGAACCAGGAGTCACCCAATTAAAATAATAGTCAGCAGGTTTAAAATAGACAAAAGGAAGTATTTCTTCACACAACGCACAGTCACTCTGTGGAACTCACTGCCAGGGGATGTTTGACGGCCAAAACTATAACTGGGTTCAAAAAAGAACTAGGTAAGTTCCTGGAGGACAGGTCCATGAAGGGCTATGAGCCAGAATGGGCAGGGATGCAGCCCAGGCTCTGGGTGTCCCTAACCTCCCACTGCCAGGAGCTGGGAGTGGCCGACAGCAGATGGATCAGTCAATAACTCCCCTGTTCTGTTCATTCCCTCTGATGCTCCGGGCACCAGCCACGGTCAGACAGGACCCTGGGCTAGATGGACTATTGCTCTGACTCGGTCTGGCCATTTTGATGTTCTTACGGCTAGTGGCTAAGTCCTGGGCAGGGCTGACCCCAGCTTGCTTCGAAGGGCCGGCCAGCCTCTGACCCCCCCCTCCCCCAACCTTCGCTGCCCTCCTTGAGCTCAGCCCCAGTGCCGAACCCCGTTAATTCTGGGGGCCCGCGTCCGAGGGAGGAATCCCGAGCGCAGAGCAGCGATGAGGCCACGGCGGGCGGGGCGGGGGGCGATCGCATGAGAGAAGATTCAGAAGGGGGTTGCAGGCTGGGGTGGGGGAGCGATTGCACCCCAGAAATACATCGGGGGGACCACCGGGGAGGGGGAATCGGATGCTCAGGGACAGGGCTGGCACAAGAACAAACTGGCCAAGGACCAGCTGAGCCCAGGACTGAGGAGGAGGTTGGGGACCATCCAGAGAGATGGTGGCGGGGTGGGGTGGGGCACAGAGGGGGCGAAGAACCTACCTAGACTGGAGCTGTAGCAATTAAGAGCTGGGATGACGCAGGATCCTCACAGACCCCAAGGGGTCCAGGCCCGGGGGACCCCCCCCTCCCGATTTTGGGAGCCTGAGCTCTTCTAACTCTGGATCTTCTCCTTTAGCTGGAGCATCCAACCCACTTGGAATCTTGCCTCCCCCCCCCAGCGCCATCCAGTGGCAGTGAGTTCCACAGGCCAAAGGAAGGAGCTTTCCTTGGAGGAGCTGGGAATTGCATCCAGGCTCGCCACAGGCAGGTCATACGTAGCCCACCGGCTCCCTCCGGTGGCTGAATCTAACGGTGCCGCTGCTCTGGCCCCAATCTCACCTGTTCACATTTCCTAGATTTTTTTTTCCCTTTGGGACATTTTAGAAGCGGGGGGGGGGGGGGTCTTCAGAGAACAGGGGGAAATTACCTGCTCACGGTCCCAGAGCAGACCCTGAAATAAAACCCAGGAATCCCAGCACCCCCACCCCGGCTCTAACCACTAGACCCCACTCCCTTCCCAGAACTGGGGAGAGACCCCAGAAGAGCTGGCTCCCAGCCTTCCCCACCCCCCAGCCATAATATACCCAATAGCAGTAACAATGCACCAGGACTGGCACAATCGGTGCCGTAACACAAATAATCGCCCAGCCCCTCAGACCCCAGCCCCGCCCTTGGAAGGACGGCTCCACGCGACAGTTTCCTGCGTCACCACAGAGGTCTCTTTAATCGGCACGTGTGAATTTTTACGGAAAAAGGATTTGTTTTTGTATTTTTTTGCAAAAAAACCCTCTATAAATAGATTTGGTGTTAAACACCCCCCGCCCCGCCCCGCTAAACAGCTCTCTCTGCTTCCATAAATTAAATCATCAGCTCCTATTTACAGCATATATATTAAAATCATTAGAATAATCCTTTCCCCTGCCTGGCAATGCAGCCTGGAAAAAGCCTTTATAAAGTGCCCCTGTGTTTGTTTGCACTGCAGCACCAATCTGAGGTAGGTGAGTGTTATCATCCCGGTTTTACAGACGGGGAAACTGAGGCACAGATTCGGTGGTTTTGTGTGTGTGTGTGTGCTTGGTTTTTTTGCCAGAAGCTGGTCAGAAGAGCTGACAATGGAACCCAGGAGTCCTGGCCCCCAGCCCCCTCTGCTCTAACCACTAGACCCCACTTCCCTTCCAGAGCTGGGGGAGAACCCAAGAGTCCTGGCTCTCAGCCCCCCCCGCTCTAAGCACTAGACCCCCACTATCCTCCCAGCACTGGGGATAGAACCCAGGCGTCCTGGCTTCCAGGCCCGTCTTCCCCTCCATAGCAAGTTTGCCCATGTGCTTTGCCTGCAGACGGTCCCCTCGGACACCAAGTCTCAACTGGCTCAGCCCCACGGCCATGGGGCCTCACTCCTTGCACGAGAAGGGGGGCTGTTAACTCTTAAGATACCAGCTGGGTTGGGGGGAGGACATCCCCGACTTCCAGCCGTTTCCAGCCTGGCTTGTTGCGTGGCCACGAGGTGGCGCTGTTTGCATTGCTGTGGTGAGTTCCACCCAGTCTCAGCCTGAGAGCGTGGCGGAGATCACTGGGGGGTGAAGGCATGTGAGGGCAGGAGGGAGAGGGGCTGGGGGCTCTCCCCTCTCCCTGCCCCGCCCCTAAGCCTTGGCAGCCCGGTGGGTGAGGCGCCGCAGCCGGTCGGGGTTGGATCTCTTCGCCGGCGAGGGCTTTGCTCCGACGCTGACGTAGTAGAAGGTGAGGGGCTGGTAGGTGGGGATGTAGCTGACCAGGCGCTGGGTGGTGCAGGGGAGCCACACGGGGGCCGGGACATAGAACAACTCGGCGGCCTGGGGGAGAGAAAAGAGACCTTAGCTGGAGTCCGAAATATCCAGAGACCCCTCGCCCGGCATGGAGCTGTGGCTGCCTCTGGGGTAGGGCGCGGGGGCTGGTTATGCAGGGACCCCTCGCCCGACACCGAGATGCAGCCACCTCTGGGGCAGGGCGCGGGGGCTGGTTATGCAGGGCCCCGTCGCCCGACACTGAGATGCAGCCACCTCTGGGGTGGGGCGCAGGAGCTGGTTATGCAGGGACCCCTCGCCCAACACTGAGATGCAGCCACCTCTGGGGCAGGGCGCGGGGGCTGGTTATGCAGGGCGTTGCTGAATGCAGCCACCTCTGGGGTGGGGCGCAGGAGCTGGTTATACAGGGACCCCTCGCCCAACACTGAGATGCAGCCACCTCTGGGGTGGGGCGCAGGAGCTGGTTATGCAGGGACCCCTCGCCCAACACTGAGATGCAGCCACCTCTGGAGTGGGGCGCGGGGGCTGGTTATGCAGGGACCCCTCGCCCGACACTGAGATGCAGCCACCTCTGGGGCATCTGCTGTGACCTGTCCCCAGGGCAGGGGCATGGCTTGGGGGATGGGATATGGGGCCTTCTTCTAGGGGGCACCAGCTCTGCTCCAGCCCCCAGCGGGTGGACTGGCTGGCTTGTGGGGAGACAGACTCTAGGCCCCTCTGGCTCATCCCTTCAGCAGCCCTGTGTGTGTGTTGAGTTTGCTGGGTCTCAGCCCCGTTCTCAGCAGGGACAGGGACCCCCCCCCCATACACACCTCAGGCACCAAATGGGCTATGGGGAGCCAGCCCCCCCAATTCACACATCACCTGTTTGCCGGGCTCCCGCAGGGCGGGTCTGGTTGGGGCTGGTGCCGGGGCCGGGGGGGGCCGGGCTGATCCCTCGTCCTCCGAGGAGCTCTCCGACGGCGACTCCGAGTGATAGTCTGACGTCTCGGGCTCCGGGGTCCCTTTGCTGCCTCCCCCTTCCGAGGGGCTCACCGTGAAGTACTGGCTGTTCTCCCCGAGTCTGGGTTGGGGGGGCAGGTGCACCCAGGGCGGGGGGGGGGGGAGAGGATGCTTTACAAATTGGGACCACAGCCCACAATGGGCCCCGTGCCGCCCCCACCCTCTGAGCCAGCCAGCCCCCACCCCCAGGGCTGGATCAGAACCAGCGCCCCCTGGAGGGGAAAGGCCCCATTCCTCACCCCCCTGAGCCAGCCAGCCTCCCACCCTGGGGCCGGAGCAGAGCCTGCTTCCCCTAGAGGGGTATGGGGCAGGGTTTAGCGCCCGGTGGGAGCACTGTGAGCCCCCCATGCACGAAGGGGGTCCCCGCGGAGCGGAGAACCCAGGAGTCCTGGCGCAGCTGGCCGCAGTAGGGCTTTTGTCCCCTGCCGGACGGAGGCAGCAGGGGCTCCGCGAGCTGGGGAGGGGGCTGACCCCAAGCAGCAGAGGGCGGGGGCAGGGGGGAAACTCACCTACAGCAGACCTCCCCCGGGTCGATCCAGAGCGAGAGCTCCCACGGCAGAGCCAGCTCCGAGTACGCCAGCCCGCAGCCCGCGCAGGCCCGGAGCAGCGACTCGTCCACCCGCTGCCTCCGGTTGATACGGATACACCTGGGGTGGGAGACGCCGGTCAGTGTGGGGGGGCAGAGCATCAGGGGCCCTGCAGGACCCCCAGCCGGCTGCAGCCTCCCACCCCGCGCCCGGGGCAAAGAGTTACCGACCCGCCTGGCGTCAGGCCCCGCAACGCAGCCCATGGATGGTGCCACCGGCTGCCCCCATCCTGCGACATGCTCCTGTGACGAAGCGGGACTGTTCTTAATGGTTTCTCTGAATAGTGTGGGGGGCCTCAGTTTCCCCTACGCAGTTCTTAAGTATCTAGGGGGTGGGGTAAGGGTGTATGATCCTTGCAGAGCCCTAGAGGGCAGGTGTGTGCAGGGGTCTGGACACAGACAATGGCCGACACCCTGTTTCCTGGCCACTGATGGCCTGGGCCCTTCCCCCCTGCAAGGTGAGAGCTAAAGGGTGGGAGAACAAAGGAATCCGGTGACCTCCTGGCCCCGGAAAGGGACAAAGCCCAGAGGAGGTGGGGCTGGAGGGAGTTTCAGTTTGGGGCTGGCTGGAGACCAGGAGTGAAGGGCAGACGGGGTTGTCTGGCTCAGTGACCCCAAAATGGACCCAGCTGAGGGGTCCTGTTCTCTGCACCTGCAAGCTCTGTGTTAGACCATGTTCCTGTCGTCTAATAAACCTTCTGTTTTACTGGCTGGCTGAGAGTCCCGTCTGACTGCGAAGTTGGGGGGCAGGACCCTCTGGCCCCCCCAGGACCCCGCCCGGGCGGACTCGCTGTGGGAAGCGCAGGGAGGGGCAGAGGAGGCTGAATGCTCCGAGGTCAGACCCAGGAAGGTGGAGCCGGGGGAGCTGTGTGTCCTGCAGACAGGCTGCTCCCCGAGAGGAGACATCCCCAGAGTCCTGCCTGGCTTCCTGGGGAGCAGTTCCAGAGCATCGCCCGGGGACGCCGTGACACCATCCACCCACTGGCCATGCCAAACGGCTGTGTGAGCGGGCACCCCGACCCCGCGCCACCCCCTCCGCGCCCGGGCCCCGTACCTGTAGGCCTGTCCCTTGGCAGGGTTCTCGGGGTACCAGTGCCGGCAATATCTCTCCTGCAGGATGGTGGCCAGGCGCTCCCCGAACTGCTCCACGAGCCCCTTGTCCAGCCGGCCGTGCCGGTTCGCCAGGCGCGACAGGAACCGGGCGCCCGTCTCCACCTCCTCTCTCATGGCGCGGGCAGGGCTCGTCCTGCGGGGGGACAGGACCCTGGTGAGCCGCTGGGGGAGGTCAGGTAATGGGGCTCAAGGGGGTTGAGGGGCTGGATCCCAGGGGAGCTCTGGGCAGCGAGGGGTTAAAGCTGCTCCAAGGGGCAGGGTGCCCCTTGGTACCTGAGCAGGGGGGAGGGGGTTTGTGGGCCTGACACAAGCCGGTGACATCACCATGAGTCAGGAAACCACGGCAGGATTGCAGCCCCGTTACATCAGCAACGGTCCGCTCAGCTGGGCTCAGACCCACAGCCAGCCTGGCATCCTGCCCCCCCATTGGATCCCCTCCATGGGCCCATCACCCTGGCATCCTGCCCCCCCATCAGATCCCCTCCATGGGCCCATCACCCTGGCATCCTGCACCCCCATCAGATCCCCTCCATGGGCCCATCACTCCGGTATCACCTCTCCCCTCCCGGGGCGGACTTGACTCATTTCCTGGGACAGCTTGTCCCCGCTGGTGTCCCCACACGCACCAGCCCAGAGGTGTCGCAAGGGGGTTACAACACAGCCGCCTGCTCCGGAAATCCAGGGGCGAGAGGCGGGGGAGAGACACTGGCAGACAGACGCCTCCGGCAGACAGAGTTACAGGCAGAGAGAGCAGAGTCAGGGTAAGAGACACCCCCAGAGAAACAAACAGATACACACATGGGCAGTCCTCAACACACACACACACAGGGGAAGACACCCGCAGAGAAGCACACACACACACAGGTGCATAAAGACACACACGCGGTGTCAAGGAAGGAGACACCCACAAAGAAACACAGAGACAAATACAGTCGGGCAGCCCCCAACACACACACAGGCAGAATGGGAAAGACACCCCCAGAGAAGCACACACACACACGCCACACACACACACACGCAGTCATGCAGCCCCCAACACAGAGACAGAAAGAGGGAAAGACACCCAAAGGCTCAGGTGTGGAGTCAGGCAACGAGACACCCCCGGCCAGGTATGGACGCGGGGCTGGTGGCCTCCAGCCTCCCCTGGCCCCGGCTAACCCAGCGGCGCCGACCCAGGGCCAGCCGTGGTCCTGCTAAACACCACCTGCGCGGCCGCCCTGAGCACCGTCTCGGTTAACGGGACGCCCTGCGGCCGATTGTCTAGAGACGAGGCCAGAGACACAGTCGGGAAGCCAACCCTGCGTGTGTGTGGGGGGGGGCTCTGACCAGGCCAGAGGTGTGAATTAGCTGGAGTTAACTGGCTCTCATTGATCTCCCGGGGAGAGGGGAAATGTAGGGCAGTTACAAGGACACACTCGCACACCGGCGGGCGTAGAGCTATGCCAACACACAATCACAGATACAGGCTCATCAATACACACCGCCACCCTGAGACACACCCTCACAAAGATACACACACAGGTATCACCAAAGTACAGCCAGACAGATGCACAATTGCACCCAGATAGCCCCCCCACACACACACACACAACCACAAAGATGCAGTCACGCAGATACAGTCACTCAGGGACACACAGTCACAAAGATACAGCCATACAAATAAACAGTCACACCCAGACACACACTCACACAACCACAAGGATACAGCCATACAGATACACATTCGCACGTAGAGACACACACAGCCACAAAGATACACAATCACACACAGAGACACACACAGCCACAAAGATACACATTCGCACGTAGAGACACACACAGCCACAAAGATACACAATCACATACAGAGACACACACAGCCACAAGGATACAGCCACACAGCCGCATGGTCCCACTGAGGTACCCAGAGCCACCCCCAATAATCTCCTCCTCCTCCCCAACACACACACACAACACACACACTGCTCCCGCTCTCAGTTGTGGGACTTTCAAGAAAACTTCCCAGGGAGGGGAATCCTGGACACAGCCCTGGGGAACCCCCCCTTGTGTTCCCCCCCAAATCCCAGACACTGCCCTACAGGTCCCAGGGATCCCCCAGGGGTGGGGTGGGGGGAATCCCAGGCTGGTCTCCACTGTGGATGACCATGGTGGGGGAGGGGTTGTCACTGTCTGTCCCCCAAACAACAGCTGGGAGGAGAAGGGGGGGCCACTTTCCTACAGCTTCCCCCACGGCTCACCCCCCCCTTTTGATCTCCATCCCCCTCACACATGGGCAGGCTCAATGTCAGGGTCACCAGGGGAGGGGGGAGATACTGGCCACAATGCCTGAGTCCTATAGGTCACATACCCCAATCCCATCACCCCCCCCCACACACACACAACCTTCCCGCCCCCGCCCTCACGTCACAGTCACAGCCTCTTTCCTCGCACCGCTGTTTGGAAATATTTCCTGGCGTCCGGGAAATCCCATTATTTCCGCCTCCGCCCCCTTCTCTCCTTCCCCCCCCCCCGACACCCCATAACTCCTTCCTCCACCACCCCATAACCAGTCCCCGCACCCCTTCCTCTCCCCCTCCCCCCACAACCTCTCCTCCTCCCCTGCACCCCAAAACCCATCCCCCCACCTCCTATGCTCCCCGGCACCCCCAAGTCCCCTTCCCCATAGCTTCCCCCTCCCCATACGTGTGTGGGGGGGTGGGGGGGCTGGGTTCCGCCACCCGATGAGGAAGTTGCAGACGCCGGAGCGGGGGAGACACAAAGGGAAGGAGAAAATGAAAGAAAAAGCTGCCGGGGGGGGAGAACTGGGGGACCCCCCATGTCTCAGCTCCCCCACGGGGGGGGGGGGGAGGCGTTGCTGGGCTTCCGGCCCCAGACCCCAACAGCGGAGCCCCTGGCCGGAGCTAAGGGGCAGATCAGACCCGCCCCCCACAGCTGAGCCCGGCCCCCCAAACTCTGCGGGGCCCTCGCGTGGGGCTCCCCGCTACCCAGTGACGCCCCGCAACAGACAAGGGCTCTGTCCCCGTCCCCCTTCTGCCCCCCACTCCGCGATCCCCCCCCCCGGGATCCCCCTTCTCCAGCCCCCCGCGCCGCGGGCCCGGACGCACCGTGCGCTCTCGCCGCCTGGTCCACGCGGTTCTGTTTGCCCCGGGCCTGGCTCGGCCGGGGGGAGGGGGAGGGGGAGGGGGATTCCCCGCCTCGCCTCGCGTCACTGACCATATTAGGAGATCCTGAGCCCGTGGGAACTTCCAGGCTGCGGGGACCGCCCGGCCCACGCCCCTCCCCGCCCGCACCCCCCCCGCGCGGGCCCTGGGGGGCGGCAGCGAGTCCAGAGGGGCGGGGGAGCAGGGGGGCGGGGGGACCGAGAGGCTCCCCAAACTTCCCTCTACCCTTCCCCCCGACTGACCCCTCCCCCCGTTCAGGGGGATCCCCATTCACCCCAGGGTCCTGCCCCAGCACCCGCTACTTGCATGTGTCCACAGAATCACAGAAATGTCCAGCCGCCCTGACCAAAAGGGGAGACCCCCCCCCACCCTGCACCCGGGAGCACAGCGCCCCCCAGGGGCATCGGGCCAGCCCTGACCGCCAGGGGAGACCCCCCCCCCACCCTGCACCCAGGAGCACAGCGCCCCCCAGGGGCACCGGGCCAGGCCTGACCGCCAGGGGAGACCCCCCCCACCCTGACCCCAGGAGCACAGCGCCCCCCAGGGGCATCGGGCCAGCCCTGACCGCCAGGAGAGACCCCTCCCCCGACCCCAGGAGCACAGCGCCCCCCAGGGGCATCGGGCCAGCCCTGACCGCCAGGAGAGACCCCCCCCCCCCCGACCCCAGGAGCACAGTGCCCCCCAGGGGCATCGGGCCAGCCCTGACCGCCAGGGGAGACCCCCCCCCACCCTGACCCCAGGAGCACAGCCCCCCGGGGCATCGGGCCAGGCCTACCCAGGGGACCCCCTCCCCCGACCCCAGGAGCACAGTGCCCCCCAGGGGCTCGGGAGGCCTGACCGCCAGGAGGACCCCCCCCCCCCCCCCAGGAGCACAGCGCCCCCAGGGGCATCGGGCCAGCCCTGACCGCCAGGGGAGACCCCCCCCACCCTGACCCCAGGCGCACAGCGCCCCCCAGGGGCATCGGGCCAGCCCTGACCGCCAGGGGAGACCCCCCCCCACCCTGACCCCAGGCGCACAGCGCCCCCCAGGGGCATCGGGCCAGCCCTGACCGCCAGGGGAGACCCCCCCACCCTGACCCCAGGAGCACAGCGCCCCCCAGGGGCATCGGGCCAGGCCTGACCGCCAGGGGAGACCCCCCCCACCCTGCACCCAGGAGCACAGCGCCCCCCAGGGGCATCGGGCCAGGCCTGACCGCCAGGGGAGACCCCCCCCACCCTGCACCCAGGAGCACAGCGCCCCCCAGGGGCATCGGGCCAGGCCTGACCGCCAGGGGAGACCCCCCCCCACCCTGACCCCAGGAGCACAGCGCCCCCCAGGGGCATCGGGCCAGCCCTGACCAAAAGGGGAGCCCCCCCCCACCCTGACCCCAGGAGCACAGCGCCCCCCAGGGGCATCGGGCCAGCCCTGACCGCCAGGAAAAACCCCTTTTGTGGCCCAGACAGAGACTCCCAGCTCAGACTGGAATTTGGGTTTATTCTGATCAGAGAATGGACAGTGCAAACCCCAGGGTGCCGAGCAGAGGAGAGTCCAGGACCCAGGCCGGGGGGTCAGGGCCGGCCCATGGCCCAGCGACAGATGCCCCTGTGGGGAGAGAGAGAGAGAGAGAGAGAAGATGGGAGGCAGGGAAGGAGTGCAAAGGAGAGCAGAAGAGGAGGAGAGGAAAAGAGGGAGCGAGAGGAGGGAGAAAAGCCCCAGTGCACAGAGGAGAGAGCGAGAAGGAAGCCATAGCAGAGGGAAGACAAGCAAGAGGAGGAAGGCCGCCCCCAGCCCCCACCACACTGCCATCTCCGCGTGTTCATAGAATCATAGAATATCAGGATTGGAAGGGACCTCAGGAGGTCATCTAGTCCAACCCCCTGCTTTGCTCCCGGTGCGTGGATGGAGGGGGGCTGGACCGAGCTGGGACCCAGAAAGGCAGTGTGGGGCTTGGGCCTGGGCAGGGTTTCCCCCCCAGGGTGTGGCATTCAGGGCCACAAAGAGCTTGGTAGGAAAGCGGGGAGCTGGGGAACTCCCTGCAACTGGATTCCAGGCTGGGTGGGCGGGTCCATGGGTCAGGTCTGGTGGGGGCAGAGTCCCAGGCTGGATGGGCCTGTTGGTCAGGCCCGGCAGTGGTGGGGGAGGTTCCCAGGCCGGACGGGCCCATGGCACTGATCCGGAGGGTTCACGGCAAGCTCACCCCAGCAGCAGGGTGCCCAGCAGGGCGCTCAGCGCCAGCCCCACCATCAGCAGCACCACGTTCCTCTTGTGCAGCGAGTCGGGCTCGGCCAGCAGCTCCGAGAGCCCGGGGAGCCGGTCCTCGGCCCCGTGCCCCGCTGGGGACTGCAGGATGGTGTGGAACATGTCCTGCAGCTCCGTCTCTGCCTCCTGGCTGCTGGCAGTCACTGCGGGGAGACAGAACCCAGGAGTCCTGGCTCCCAGCCCCACCCCTCCGCTGCTCCAACCACGAGACCTCACTCCCCTCCCAGAGCTGGGGCTAGAACCCAGGAGTCCTGGCTCCCAGCCCCTCTGCTCTAACCACTTGACCCCACTCCCCTCCTTACCATTGAGGTAGAAGTATTTCCGGGCTAGCACATCATCCTGCTGGGCTAGCTGGCAGGCGTAGGTGCCGCGGTGCGAGCCCCATGTGGGACGGAGGACAAGGGAGGAGCCGGCGCCCATATGCAGGTCCCGGAAGAGGGAAAGATCCTGGGTCCGGAGCTGGTGGGGCAGAGGAGAGCGAGCTGAGCGGGTGACAGGGGGAGGAAGGGCAGGTGTCAGGGGAATTGAACTCAGGACCAGGGGCAGAGCGAGGGGGCTGGGCTGACTTGAAGGCTGCCACTAGGGCGTGTAGGGGGCAAGGGGCATGGAGTCAGGGCAGCAGACAGACAGAAACTCTCGCCCCGCAGTAAAATTACTTCCTTTCACCACCTCCATCCACCAAGGTGCCCCCCGCCCCGTCTTCCTGCTACCCGAACAGACAACCACAACACGAGACAGACCCTCCCCATCCGCCACACTCACGTCCCTGGCAAACTTCCAGCTACGCCGCACGTCAGGGGGGGTCTGGAACGGGACCCTGCATGTCAGAGCCGTCCTCTCCCCCTCGTTCTTCCAGACGTCCTCCACTGGCAGGGCAAAGAGCGGGGTGATTCCGGGTGGGGCTGGCTATGCGGCCACCTCTGGGGCGGGGCACGGGGGCTGGTTATAGAGGGACCCCGCCCCGCAGGAATCCCTCGCCCAGCACTGAGATGCAGCCACCTCTGGGGTGGGGTGGGGGGCTGGTTATCCAGGGAATCCTGTGTTCAGCTGAAAGCACAAGGGGGTTTTCTGGAGGTTGAAGAGAATCCCCTGGGTTCGGTTTGGCCAGGACTCCTGGGTTCATCATCTGGAAATGGCAGGGAATCCCGCAGCACAGCGCCCCCTAGTGCTGTGTGGGGACTTGGGGGCGTAGCACGTACCTGGACAGTCCAGGGGGAGCTGACAGTCCACTAGGCTGCACGAGGTGCATTTGTAGACCTGGGCGTCTTTCTGGTACCCTGCGGAGAACAGCAAAGTGGTGGGGAGCCTAGGGCTGGGCTAGCAGGGGGCTGCGGGTCGGGAGTGAGGGGCACTGGCAGGGCTGGTTGGGGGGTCCAGGGCTGGGCTGGCAGGGGGCTGCGGGTCGGGAGTGAGGGGCACCGGCAGAGCTGGGGAGTGGGGGGAGCCCAGGGCTGGGCTGGGAGGGGGCTGCGGGTCGGGAGTGAGGGGCACCGGCATGGCTGGTTGGGGGGTCCAGGGCTGGGCTGGGAGGGGCTGCGGGTCGGGAGTGAGGGGCACGGCGGAGCTGGGGAGGGGGGAGCCCAGGGCTGGGCTGGGAGGGGCTGCGGGTCGGGAGGAGGGGCACCGCATGGCTGGTTGGGGGTCCAGGGCTGGGCTGGCAGGGGGCTGCGGGTCGGGAGTGAGGGGCACCGGCAGAGCTGGGGAGTGGGGGGAGCCCAGGGCTGGGCTGGGAGGGGGCTGCAGGTTGGGAGTGAGGGGCACCGGCATGGCTGGTTGGGGGGTCCAGGGCTGGGCTGGCAGGGGGCTGCGGGTCGGGAGTGAGGGGCACCGGCGGAGCTGGGGAGTGGGGGAGCCCAGGGCTGGGCTGGGAGGGGGCTGCGGGTTGGGAGTGAGGGGCACCGGCATGGCTGGTTGGGGGGTCCAGGGCTGGGCTGGCAGGGGGCTGCGGGTCGGGAGTGAGGGGCACTGGCGGAGCTGGGGAGTGGGGGAGCCCAGGGCTGGGCTGGGAGGGGGCTGCAGGTTGGGAGTGAGGGGCACCGGCGGAGCTGGGGAGTGGGGGAGCCCAGGGCTGGGCTGGCAGGGGGCTGTGGGTCAGGAGTGAGGGGCACCGGCGGAGCTGGGGAGTGGGGGAGCCCAGGGCTGGGCTGGCAGGGGGCTGTGGGTCGGGAGTGAGGGGCACCGGCGGAGCTGGGGAGTGGGGGAGCCCAGGGCTGGGCTGGCAGGGGGCTGTGGGTCGGGAGTGAGGGGCACCGGCGGAGCTGGGGAGTGGGGGAGCCCAGGGCTGGGCGGGGAGTGGGGGAGCCCAGGGCTGGGCTGGGAGGGGGCTGCGGGTTGGGAGTGAGGGGCACCGGCATGGCTGGTTGGGGGGTCCAGGGCTGGGCTGGCAGGGGGCTGCGGGTCAGGAGTGAGGGGCACCGGCGGAGCTGGGGGGCCCCGTGAGACCTCAGGACTCACCGCACGGCGGGACGCAGGCAGGAGCTGCGAAGGGAGAGGAACAGGAGGGAGGATGAGGCCATATCAGGGCATGAGGCCCAGCAGCAGCAGACCCGCTCCTGGGTGCCCTCTAGGGGGCGCTGAGTCTGATCCAGCCTCCCGGCAGGGACTGAATGGCTGGCGGCGGGAGGGGTGGGGGGGGTGTCTCAGCCCCTGCCTCCCAATTGGCCGAGGGCTGGGTGGTCCATGGGGTCCCAGCCCCTTCCCCCCACCTGTTCCAGGACAGTGGGTGCATGGGGGGCTGTGTGTGGGGGGGTCACACCGGGTGGTCGGCTCCCAGCCCCCCTCTCACCTGGTTTCAGCTGAGCCAGCTCCGGCTGGATTTGCACCACAGCGTCTGGCACGGCCACCTGGTAGGGAACTGGGGGGAAAGAGGGGGTCAGAACCGGGCCCCCCGCCCACACCCTCCCCCTGGCTTTCCAGCCCCTGCCCCCACCCTATCCCTCCCCTCCCCTATTCCCAGCCACTTCCCCTTGCTCCCCCCCTCCAGCATCCTTCCCCTCCCCTTCCTCCATGGCCCCCACCCCAGCTCTGACCCACCCTTAGACATGCCCTTCTGCTCCAGGGAGAAGATGACATTGGAGAAGACGTCCTTCAGCTTCTCCATCTCCGCCACACCTGGGGAGTGCGACGGGGGCGGGTGAGGGGACAGGTTCTGCTCTGGGGTCCGTCCCATGGGGGGCCATAGATGGAGGGATGGGCAGAGGGATGGATGGAGGAGATGATGGAGCTAGGGATGGTTGGAGAGATGGGCAGAAGATGGAAGGATGGCTGGAGGTAGAGACAGAGGGAGGATGGAGCTAGGGGTGGATGGGGGTGAAGACGGAGGGATGATGGAGCTAGGGATGGGTGGGGTGAAGATGGAGGGAGGATGGAGCTAGGGATGGATGGAGGTGAAGATGGAGGGATGATGGAACTAGGGATGGATGGAGGTGAAGACGGAGGCAGGATGGAGCTAGGGATGGAGGGCCAGGGAGTGGTTAAGCTGGAGGAAGGCAAGGATGGAGCTGAGGGATGGACGGACGGTGGGTGGACAGACAGACAGGAGGGATGGCGGGAACGGAAGACGGACGGACAGAGCGAGCTGCAGGAGGAGGCTGGGGTGAGGCCAGAGGGCCAGCCGGCCGCTTGGCTCCGGGGCCCCACTCACCCACCACCAGCTGGGCGTGGGGCTGGAAGGCGGCCCGCAGGGCGCCCAGGCAGGCCACGTGCCGGGAACTGGCGTGACCCAGGAAGATCTGGCAGACGCGCAGGCGCTGCTGGGGGGTGGAGAAGCAGTCGAGGCAGCCGGGCGCCCGGGGGGCCAGAAGGAGGCCGAGGCAAAGGGGCAGCAGAAGCTGGGAGGCCGCGGGCATTGCCCAGCGCCGGGGGCACGGAACCCGCCGGGACATCACAATGGAGGGGGCAGGGCTACGATCCGGCCACGCCCACCCCAGAGGTGGCTGGGTCCCAGCGAGGGGTCCCTGTATAACCAGCCCGCTGCCCCACCGCAGAGGTGGCTGCATCTCAGGGCCGGGCGAGGGGTTCCCATGTAACCAGCCCCCCCCACACCCCACCCCAGAATTGGCTGCATCTCAGGGCCGGGCGAGGGGTCCCCGCATACCCAGGACTGGAGGAAGGCATCTCCGGCCGAGGGGAGAAGTGTGTTCGGGGGGGAGCTGTCGGGCTCAGAGGTCCGTCTCCATGGAAGCCAGACAGCCGGGCATGAAGCTGAGAATTAATATGTCCCTTAAACGGGGGGGGGGGGGGGGATGGAGCTAAGGGGGGGCTGTGGGGCAGGGGGGATGAGTGCATCGAAGGGATGAAAAATGACCCCCCCAGCTCTGCTGGTGCCCCTCACTCCCGACCCGCAGCCCTATTAGCTCAGCCCCGGGCTCCCTACTCCCACCCTCTGCAGAACTGCCCGAGCTGGGGGGCAGGGGGGCGCTGTGGGTCGGGAGTGAGGGGCGCTGCTATCGCTGTGCACAACATTATTTCTCCATAGTAGTAACCTTGGAAAAGGAGGCAGGAGTCAAGTGTTTAGAGCCGGGAGGAGGGGCAGGGAGCCCGGATTCCTGGGTTCTCTCCCCAGCTCTGGGAGAGGAGTGGGGTCGAGTGGTTGGAACACGGAGGGAGGGCGGGTGATGGGAGTGACGAGGGGCCTCCCCGTCCTCCTCAGGGGGTCCTGTGCTGCTTGGCTTGGGGGGTTCAGCTGTTTGATGGTGTCTCTGGGAGCAGGAGCCTCGGAGGCACAGAGACACCCGTCAAACCTGCTCCCTCGGGTGGGCGGGGAGAGATCTCCCGCGGGGTGGGCGAGGTGCTCAGCTCCGTGTCCCTCCGGGCCGGTTGTCTCAGCTCAAACATAGGCCGAGCTCACCCAAGACTCTGACCGCGATCGGGGACCCGTCGTGCCCTGGGGAAACCGAGGCATCGAGCAGGAAAGCGATTTCTCCAGGGTAGCACTAGGAGTCTGTGGCGGAATCCTGAGTTCTAACCCGGGGGGAGCCAGGACTCCTGGGTTCTATCCTGGCTCTGGGAGGGAAGGGAGTCTAGTGGTTCAGGTGGAGGCGGGGGGGGGTTCGGTTGTCCGTGCCCCAGCGGTGAAGCTGCCCCCGGCGTGACGGCCTGAGACCTGCCCCTTGCTGCGCTGTGTCGGGGCCAGTCGCTCAGTTCCCAAGAACCTCACCTGTGAATTCTGCGCTGCCCTCACAGGTTAAGGGTCTCAGGGACAGAGACGGCTGCCGGGAGCGAGTCAGAGAGGGAGGAGGAGAGCGCAGGTCTGGGGGTCCCATTCGTCCAGCTGGAGCAGAGGAAAAGAGTGGGTGCTGAGAGGTTAGAGGGGGGAGAGCACCCAGGGTGCGGGCTGAGTGGGCTGGAAGGAGGAGCCTGGGCTGCTGCTATCTATGGAGTGTGGGGGATTTTGGATGGATTTTGTCAATGCCCCTCAATCCTGACCCCCCCATGCCATTTATTCCCACTCCGGTCTCCCCCCAGCTCTGCCGGTGCCCCCACTCCTGACCCGCAGCCCCCTGCTAGCCCAGGCTCCCTTCCCCCAGCTCTGCCAGTGCCCCTCACTCCTGACCTCCAGCCCCCTGCTGGCCCAGCCCCGGTCTCCCTCCCGCACCCACCCACACTGGGGGGTGTTTCCATGATTCTCTTCGCACTCTGCCGTTCTGCTGACGCTGTCAGTAGGGGGAGCCAGGGAGCGCTACTCCGGGAGCGAGGTGTTGGGGGCGGAGGTGTCCTTCCGTCCGGCTGGGAAACCCACCCCGAACTAGGCAACCTTTCCCCAATGGGGGGAGGGAGACGTCGACAGATTTTGTTGCCCAAACCCCAGCCGGGGGGTTGCAATGAGGTGCTTTGGGGGTGCCGGTTAAATGCAGATTTGATCAGCAAAGTGAGGGGCTGGGGGGGCTCAGCCGCGGGCAGGGGTGACCCGGAAGGGGTACTGATGGGCCATGGGAAAGAGCCGCCAGACAGGTACCAGAATGGGCTCCCTGTCAGCACCTGGCCACCAGACCGGGATACTGGGGCCCGGGAAGGCCAGTGACCTGCCAACGAGCGGCTCCTGGGACGGGCCATTGAGCGGGAGGGGGTGGCTAGCACCTATCCCGAGCCCCGGCTAGTCACCGACAGGTAACACTGGTGGGCCGACTCTCCACAGCCGCTCACTGAGCTGCACCCGGGGCGCCCGGTAGGGGGAGGGATCCACCAAGCCACAATGACAGCCACAGCCTCGGGGACCTTCCCCACAGCCCCGTTGCTGGCCCCAAACTCAGTGGAATGGAGCCACCCCAAATACCCCCGGAAACCGGGGCTCTCAACCCTGAACGAACCCGCCTGAGGGCAGAGACGCTGGCTGGGTGTCACCCCCTACCCCGCTCCACTCTCCCCAGACCTCCAATGTCTCCCAGCTCCCCCCACTCTTCCTCAGACCCCACAATATCCCCCAGGTCCCTCTCTTCCCCAGGCCCCCCGATATCCTTGCCAGGCCCCCCGGGTGTCCCCGGGCCACCCCATTCTTATCTAAATTCAAAGGTTTCTAGACTATGGGAGAATCAGCCAGACCCCGATTCCTGACAACTCCCAGCAGACCCCAAATAGTGACATGGGGCCCTTCCCCTCTAGGGGGCACCGGTCCCGATAGGGCCCCAGGGACAGGAGGTGGCTGGCTTTGGGGGGGCAGGGGGACGGACACAATGTGGTTCAGCAGCTCCGTGTGTGAACCAAGTTTGCTGGCGCTCAGCTCCCCTTGCCGGCAGGAGGCCGAGGGTTGGGTGGGCCACAGGGACCCAGCCCCTCCCTGGCTTTGGGATACAGGAGGCCAGGAGCTGGGGGGACCCTGTTATACTCACCTCCTGCCCCCCATGATGGAGGGGCTGGGGGGCTTGGAGGCCTTCAGCACCCCCCCACACACACCCCCACAGCCTGCAACATCCCCCAACACCCCCCAAGCTCCCAACTCCTGCCCCACAGCCCATAACACACCCAACATCCCTTGCAAGAACCCGCACCACCCGCCCTACAGACTGCAGTATGTCCCAACACCCCCCACAACAACCCCCATGCTCCCAACACCCTCCACAACCTGTAACACCCCCATCCCCTGCAACAACCCTGAAAACCTCCCATGCCAACACCTCCACAGCCTGTAACACCTCCAACACCCCACACCCCTTGCCATAACCACAAACACCCCCATGTCTCCCAACCCCACCCCTACACGCGGCCTGTAACACCCTTCCACAGCCCATCACACACACACACACACACACACAACACACAGGTACTGTGCAGGGTCTGCCTTTCCCATCCCCCCGAACCCCTCCACCCCCCTTCCTCCATCCCTCCATCCCTGCCTTCCCATCCCCTCGTACCCCTCCATCCCCCTTCCTCTATCCCCCCATCCCTACCTACCCATCCCCCCACCCCTCCACCCCCCTTCCTCTATCCCTCCATCCCTGCCGTCCCATCCCCCCCCCCCCCCCCCCCCCCCCCCCCCCCCCCCCCCCCCCCCCCCCCCCCCCCCCCCCATACCCCTTCCTCCATCCCCACATCCCTGCCTTCCCATCCCCCCCGTCCCCCTCCATCCCCCTTCCTCTATCCCCCCATCCCTGCCTTTCCCATCCCCCCCCCCCATCCCCCTCCACCCCCCTTCCTCCATCCCTCCATCCCTGCCTTCCCATCCCCCCCCCCCTCCCCCTCCATCCCCCTTCCTCTATCCCTCCATCCCTGCCTTCCCATCCCCCTCGCCCCCCTCCACTCCCCTTCCTCCATCCCTCCATCCCTGCCTTCCCATCCCCCCCGTACCCCACCATCCCCCTTCCTCTATCCCTGCATCCCTGCCTTCCCATTCCCCCGTACCCCTCCATCCCCCTTCCTCCATCCCTCCATCCCTGCCTTCCCATCCCCCCGTACCCCTCCATCCCCCCTTCCTCTATCCCCCCATCCCTGCCTTTCCCATCCCCCGCTACCCCTCCATCCCCCTTCCTCTATCCCTCCATCCCTGCCTTCCCATCCCCCGTACCCCTCCATCCCCCTTCCTCCATCCCCATCCCTGCCTTCCCATCCCCCATCCCCCTCCATCCCCCTTCCTCTATCCCTCCATCCCTGCCTTCCCATCCCCCCCGTACCCCTCCATCCCCCTTCCTCCATCCCTCCATCCCTGCCCTTCCCATCCCCCGTACCCCTCCATCCCCCTTCCTCTATCCCTCCATCCCTGCCTTCCCATCCCCCCATCCCCCCTCTCCCCCCCCCCCTTCCCCTCCCCCCCATCCCCCCCCTTCCTCCTATCCCCCCATCCCTGCCTTCCCATCCCCCCGTACCCCTCCATCCCCCTTCCTCTATCCCCCCATCCCTGCCTTCCCATCCCCCCCCCCCCCCCCCCTTCCTATCCCCCCTCCCCCTCCCCCCCCCCTCCATCCCCTTTCCTCTATCCCCCCATCCCTGCCTTCCCATCCCCCGCTACCCCTCCATCCCCCTTCCTCTATCCCCCCATCCCTGAACCTCTCTCGCTCCCCCTTTCCTCCCTCTTCCTCTGCTCCCCCCGCGACCGCCCCTCCCCGCCCCGCGGCGGGACTCAGCCTGTGGCTTTCCTCCGGCCGTGGCTGTCTCCTTCCCTCGCTCCGCCGGTGCCCGGGCCGGTCGGCCGGAGGGAGGGAGGGAGGGACGCGGGGTCCGTCCGTCCGTCCGCGGGCGGGGTCTGTCTGGGGCTCCCGGCCGCTCCCCGCGCCTCTCTCCGCCGCGGCGTCTGTCTCGCTCCCCCGCTCCGGGCGGCGGGGCCGGCATCGCAATGCGGCGCTTGTCTGGCTGGAGCCGCGCCGGCTGCCGGGCCCGGGGGGGGGGGGGGGGCCGCCAAGGGGCCGGGCAGACAGCGAGCGGGGGTGGGACCCGCACCCCCCCCCCCAGGAACACACCCGCATATAACGCAACACAACCCCCCCACAATAACCCCCACACCACAACACCCCCCCACACCACAATAACCCCCCCACCACAACACCCCCCCACAATAACCCCCCCACCACAACACCCCCCACACCACAATAACCCCCCACCACAACACCCCCCACAATAACCCCCCCACCACAACACCCCCCCACCCACAATAACCCCCCCACCACAACACCCCCCACAATAACCCCCCACCTCACAGTGCCCCCACCATAACACCCCCCACACCACAATAACCCCCCCACCACAACACCCCCCACACCACAATAACCCCCCCACCACAACACCCCCCCCACAATAACCCCCCCACCACAACACCCCCCCACACCACAATAACCCCCCCACCACAACACCCCCCACAATAACCCCCCACCTCACAGTGCCCCCACCATAACACCCCCCACACCACAATAACCCCCCACCACAACACCCCCCCACAATAACCCCCCACCACAACACCCCCCACACCACAATAACCCCCCCACCACAACACCCCCCACAATAACCCCCCCACCTCACAGTGCCCCCACCATAACACCCCCCCACAATAACCCCCCCACCACAACACCCCCCCACACCACAATAACCCCCCCACCACAACACCCCCCACAATAACCCCCCCACCTCACAGTGCCCCCACCATAACACCCCCCACACCACAATAACCCCCCACCACAACACCCCCCCACACCACAATAACCCCCCCACCACAACACCCCCCACAATAACCCCCCCACCACAACACCCCCCCACACCACAATAACCCCCCCACCACAACACCCCCCACAATAACCCCCCCACCTCACAGTGCCCCCACCATAACACCCCCCACACCACAATAACCCCCCACCACAACACCCCCCCACAATAACCCCCCACCACAACACCCCCCACACCACAATAACCCCCCCACCACAACACCCCCCACAATAACCCCCCACCTCACAGTGCCCCCACCCATAACACCCCCCCACAATAACCCCCCCACCACAACACCCCCCCACACCACAATAACCCCCCCACCACAACACCCCCCACAATAACCCCCCACCTCACAGTGCCCCCACCATAACACCCCCCCACAATAACCCCCCCACCACAACACCCCCCACACCACAATAACCCCCCCACCACAACACCCCCCCACAATAACCCCCCCACCTCACAGTGCCCCCACCATAACACCCCCCCACAATAACCCCCCCACCACAACACCCCCCCACACCACAATAACCCCACCACCACAACACCCCCCACAATAACCCCCCCACCTCACAGTGCCCCCACCATGACACCCCCCCACAATAACCCCCCCCACCACAACACCCCCCACCACAATAACCCCCCCACCACAACACCCCTCCACACCACAATAACCCCACCACCACAACACCCCCCCACAATAACCCCCCCACCTCACAGTGCCCCCCACAACACCCCCCCCACACCACAATAACCCCACCACCACAACACCCCCCCACAATAACCCCCCACCTCACAGTGCCCCCCACCATAACACCCCCCCACAATAACCCCCCACCACAACACCCCCCCACACCACAATAACCCCACCACCACACAGCACCCCACCACAACACCCCCCCACAATAACCCCCCACCATAACATCCCCCACACCACAATAACCCCCCACCACACAGCACCCCCCCCACCATAACCCCCCCACCTCACAGTGCCCCCCACCATAACACCCCCCACAATAACCCCACCACCACAACACCCCTCCACACCACAATAGCCCCCCCACCACACAGCACCCCCCCACCACAACACCCCCCCACCACAATAACCCCACCACCACAACACCCCCCCACAATAACCCCCCACCTTACAGCGCCCCCCACCATAACACTCCCCACACCACAATAACCCCCCCACCACACAGCACCCCACCACAACACCCCCCCACACCACAATAACCCCACCACCACAACACCCCTCCACACCACAATAGCCCCCCCACCACACAGCGCCCCCCCACCACAACACCCCCCACACCACAATAACCCCACCACCACAACACCCCCCCACAATAACCCCCCACCTCACAGTGCCCCCCACCATAACACCCCCCCACAATAACCCCACCACCACAACACCCCTCCACACCACAATAGCCCCCCTACCACACAGCACCCCCCACCACAACACCCCCCCCACAATAACCCCCCCACCTCACAGTGCCCCCACCATAACACCCCCCCACAATAACCCCACCACCTCACAGTGCCCCCCACCATAACACCCCCCCACAATAACCCCACCACCACAACACCCCTCTACACCACAATAGCCCCCCCACCACACAGCACCCCCCACCACAACACCCCCCACACCACAATAACGCCCCCACCACAACACCCCCCACAATAACCCCCCACCTCACAGCGCCCCCACCACAACACCCCCCACACCACAGTAACCCCACCACCACACAGCACCCCCCCACCATAACACCTACCCACATAACAGAACACCCCCACAACGCACACACACAACACCACAATAACACCCCCACACAGCACCTCCAGCATAACACCCCCCACACCACAATAACCCCACCACCACAACACCCCCCACAATAACCCCCCCACCTCCACAGCGCCCCCCACCACTACACCCCCCACAATAACCCCCCCATCACACAGCACCCCCACCATAACACCCCCCACACCACAATAACCCCCCCACCACACAGCACCCCCCACCATAACACCCCCCCACACCACAATAACCCCCCACCACACAGCACCCCCCACCACAACACCCCCCACACCACAATAACCCCCCCACCACACAGCACCCCCACCACAACACCCCCCCACAATAACCCCCCACCATAACACTCCCCCACACCACAATAACCCCCCCACCACACAGCACCCCCCACAACACCCCCCCACACCACAATAACCCCCACCACACAGCACCCCCACCACAACACCCCCCCAATAACCCCCCACCATAAAACTCCCCCACACCACAATAACCCCCCACCACACAGCACCCCCCACCATAACACCCCCCACACCACAAACCCCCCACCACACAGCACCCCCCACCACAACACCCCCCACAATAACCCCCCACCACAACACCCCCCACACCACAATAACCCCCCCACCACAACACCCCCCCACAATAACCCCACCACCACAACACCCCTCTACACCACAATAGCCCCCCCCAACACACAGCACCCCCCCACCACAACACCCCCCCACACCACAATAACCCCACCACCACAACACCCCCCCACAATAACCCCCCCACCTCACAGCGCCCCCCACCACTACACCCCCCACAATAACCCCCCCACCTCACAGCGCCCCCCCACCACAACACCCCCCCACACCACAATAACCCCACCACCACACAGCACCCCCCCACCATAACACCTAACCACATAACACAACACCCCCACAACACACACACACAACACCACAATAACACCCCCCACACAGCACCTCCAGCATAACACCCCCCCACATCACAATAACCCCCCCACCACACAGCATCCCCCACCATAACACCTCCCCACATAACACAACACCCCCACAACGCACACACACACAACACCACAATACCCCCCTCCCACACACAGCACTCCCACCATAACACCCCCCACAACCCCTCCCACAATAACACCCCCACCACACAGCACCCCCCACCATAACACCTCCCCACATAACACAACACCCCCACAACACACACACACACAACACCACAATAACACCCCCCACGCAGAGCGCCCCCACCATAACACCCCCCACAACAGCCCCACCACAAGAACACACCCGCATATAACGCAACACAACACAGCACCTCCAGCATAACACCCCCCAAACCACAATAACACCCCCACAACACCCCCACCACAATAACACGCCCACCACACAGCACCCCACACAACACACACACTCACACAACACCACAATAACACCCCCCACAACACAGCACCTCCACCATAACACATACCCACACACGCCACAATAACGCCCCCCACAGCACCCACCCACCACAATAACACCCACCCACACAACACTCCCATCACAATAACACACCCGCATATAACACAACACCCCCCACAACACAGCACCTCCACCATAGCACACACCCACACAACACACCCCACATAACACAACACACCTCCCCAGTTACACCCTGCCACAAAACACCACCCCACCACATCCCCCATAACACCCACCCACACAACACACCCTCCCCACCACAACACACCACAAGACCTCCACCATAATAACAGACTAGCATATAACAGAATACCCCCACAATAACACACTCACAACACAGCACCCCCACCATAACAACCCCCACAATATCCCCCACCACAATAACACACAAACACAATATCACCACCACCATAATAATACATACACATCACGCATACAACACAACACCCCACCACCATAACAGACACCACAACACACACACAACACCACAACCACCACCACAACACAACACCCCCACTACCACAATACACACACAAGACCCCACAATATCGCACAACCACTACACACACAACACAATATCCCAACACCATCACACCTCCACCACAATAAAAACACACCCACACACCCATAATATCTCCCTGCATCACAATAACATACACATAGTCCATAATATCCGCCACCGCCATAACACATACTTCACAATAACACACACACACAATATCTCCCACAACATGATACCACACATAACACAACACCCCCACACCCATCACAGCACCCACACCCATCAAGCATACTCAGCACAACAATGCCACTCACAACACCCACACCAACCATAACATATACACACAGAATACAATACCCCCACACCCACCACAACACATGCACAACACACATCCATCGTGCACACACAAAAGAACACTGCCACACACAGCACACTACACAACAGCCACTTCCACTGTGGCACACGCACAGCACCCACCATGTACACACAACATGAGAATCCTACATACACAATCACACAGCTTGAACTCACCATACACAGTCACAACAGTACTGCACACACAATGCACACACAGCACATCCCACTGTGAAATACAACCACACACACAGCATGACAATGATGCTAACCACACATCCCCTGCACAACTACACATGCACACACAACACCAAACACACATTCCTGAACAAACCCACAATGCTGCACAACTACACACACCGCAATGTCACACAATTATACACAAGTGCACACAAGAATCACATACACATAAAACAAGACACCAGAGAAACACACCTATATCCCCCGTTCCCACCACACACAAAGCTGTACAACCACATACACGAGACATGACAACATCGCACAACCCAGCAGTGCCTCACAATCACATCCACAGTTCCTCGACAGCACAACATGACAATACCACACAATCCTAAACATCCCAACAACCACTCCGCCCATATCAGCACACAACTACACACAATTCCCTGACCACACAGCACACGCAACCCCAGCCATGTCTCTACAGGCATCCTGGGAACTAACCCGGTCAATCCCCAGCCACAGGGAGTCCCACAGGTTAACCCGGCCAATCCCCAGTGGCGGGGAATCCCATGAGTTAACCCAGCCAATCCGCAGTGGCGGGGAGTCCCATAGGTTAACCTGGCCAATCCCCAGTGGCGGGGAATCCCATGAGTTAACCCAGCCAATCCCTACTGGCGGGGAGTCCTGTGGGTCAGCCCTGCCAATTCCCAGTGGCAGGGAATCCCATGAGTTAACCCAGCCAATCCGCAGTGGTGGGGAGTCCCATAGGTCAACCTGGCCAATCCCCAGTGGCGGGGAGTTCCACGGGTTAACCCTGCCACTCCTTGGTAGCAGGGAGTTTCGCAGGTCATCATCGATAATCATATCCCACCATGGCGAATTACCGCATTACTCACCTCCCCTCGTTGCTGCCCCCTGCTGGCTGATCTCCAGGGCTGAGCAGCGCCCCAGGGAAAGCTAGGAGGCTGTACAGTTATCTCCTGCGGGTGTTATTCTAAACCATACAACCTACTACCTCAGCCTGGGGCACGCAGAAGAGACGGGCCGGGGACAGGGGGTTTGAGCCAAGCGCGGCTGGGGGTCTCGGGATCGGCTGGGGGTGGAAGACACTGGCTGGGGGAGTGGGAAGGAAGTCGCCCAGAGCAGCTGGGGAGGTTTCTCTAGAGGCGTTGGCTGCCTCTAGGTGGAATGATTTGGTGGGTTCTCAACTAACTGGCCTTTCCCCTCTAGGGGGCGCAGGTTCTGATCCAGCCCCGGGGGGGGGGACACGGGGCCTTTCCCCTCTAGGGGGCGCAGGTTCTGATCCAGCCCCGGGGGGGGACACGGGGCCTTTCCCCTCTAGGGGGCGCAGGTTCTGATCCAGCCCCGGGGGGGGACACGGGGCCTTTCCCCTCTAGGGGGCGCAGGTTCTGATCCAGCCCCGGGGGGGGACACGGGGCCTTTCCCCTCTAGGGGGCGCAGGTTCTGATCTGGCCCCGGGGGGGGACTGCTGGGCTCAGGGGGACGGGGAATGGGACACGGGGCCTTTCCCCTCTAGGGGGCGCAGGTTCTGATCCAGCCCCGGGGGGGATGGGGACTGCTGGGCTCAGGGGGACGGGGAATGGGACACGGGGCCTTTCCCCTCTAAAAGGGGGCGCAGGTTCTGATCCAGCCCCGGGGGGGACGGGGACTGCTGGGCTCAGGGGGACGGGGAATGGGACACGGGGCCTTTCCCCTCTAGGGGGCGCAGGTTCTGATCCAGCCCCGGGGGGGGACACGGGGCCTTTCCCCTCTAGGGGGCGCAGGTTCTGATCCAGCCCCGGGGGGGACACGGGGCCTTTCCCCTCTAGGGGGCGCAGGTTCTGATCTGGCCCCGGGGGGGGACTGCTGGGCTCAGGGGGACGGGGAATGGGACACGGGGCCTTTCCCCTCTAGGGGGCGCAGGTTCTGATCCAGCCCCGGGGGGGATGGGGACTGCTGGGCTCAGGGGGACGGGGAATGGGACACGGGGCCTTTCCCCTCTAGGGGGCGCAGGTTCTGATCCAGCCCCGGGGGGGGGACTGCTGGGCTCAGGGGGACGGGGAATGGGACACGGGGCCTTTCCCCTCTAGGGGGCGCAGGTTCTGATCCAGCCCCGGGGGGACGGGGACTGCTGGGCTCAGGGGGACAGGGAATGGGACACGGGGCCTTTCCCCTCTAGGGGGCGCAGGTTCTGATCTGGCCCCATTCCGGTGGGTGAACTCTACGGCTGAGTGGGCGGGCCTGCAATGCCGGTGGGCGGAGTCAGCCCGGGGTCGGTCTCCAGATGTCCTGGCCAGGATCGACACATACCCACAGACTCGAGCTTGTGTGAGGCAGTCGTACCGCAAGTTCGGATCTACGGGTTTATGGCAACCGGCAATGCCGCGGCGGGACCCGGCGGCTGGCAGCCCCGGCCTCGGAGCCATCCAAGATGAGACTGTGACTGCCAGATAGCAGGGGTGAACCTGAAAGGGGGGTGGGAGAGATGGCTGGACAGACAGAGGGGTGTGTATGGGGGTGGATAGATAGATAGATTAGATTAGATAGTCTTGCAAGGAATACATTTCTCAACTTGGAAAAACAAAAACGTTTTTCATTCCTATATTGAATACAACAGAACATGCCCAGAGCAGGGAATAGAAGCCAGGCGTCCTGGCTCCCAGCCTCCGCCTCCGTTCTAACCTAGTAGGGCCCGCTCCCATCCCAGAGCTGGGGAGAGAACCCAGGAGTCCGGGCTCCCAGAGTTTTCATTTAATTCTTTGACACTTTCCCAGATTCTGACAAATGCAAGAGACCATTTCTATGGTTAAAAACCCCCACCCCTTGTGCCTCTGTTTCACACTGTTTCTCGTAGGATTGCACGCCCCCTGCTGGGCGTGAGGGCAAAGGGAGCACCCAATGGCAAGAAGCCCACTGGAGACTACAGGTTGGGTGAGGGAGGAAGAAGGTAAGGTCGTGGGGGGGAACAATCTGAGAACGGACTGCGGGGGGGGGGGGAATGCGCTGCAGGGTGGCAGGGAGCAGAACCGAGCTGTGTGGAGGGGGGGATCCTACACGGGAGCCACGGTGGATTTGCCGGCAGGTGCGGTAGGGTGCAACGTGACGGCTGGTTGTGTATGGCCCACAAGCATCACAGAATAGCCTAGGTGCGCAGCGTGGTGCTTGACACCGAGACTCACAGGCTGGCTGCACAGAGATGCTGGTGTCTGGCTCATTCCGACCACCCAGAACCCACTCACCCCGTGTCCTAGGACTGCAGGGGGGGTTCCCGGGTCGCTGCGCCTCGACTGGGCCCTGCCGCCACGGGCGACCTGCTTATGCTGCACAATCTGCTCTGCCCGGCCTGTCCCGGTCCCGCAGCACCGCTCGGCCTGGCTCCAGAGCGTCCCCTCTCCCCAAGAAAAGAGAGCCCCTTCCCTGCCTGGTCGCTCATATGACATAATACAGACTATTGATGGACTCGATTTCGTTCTAGGTCATGTATTCCATATCTTAGCAGATAAACAGGTTCTATCGTAATGTCAGCTAGGTTTAAGCATTGTTAAATACAAAACATAACATAAAACCCCATAGTCTATATTAATGTAGCATATGTTTAAGCATCGTCAAACCTAATATAAAAACTCTTACTTACTCTGTATTAACCTAAAGTATGTGTAAGTATTGTTAAATTAAATGTAAAATATAATATAAAAACGTTTATACTGTTTATACACAATATTTAATTTTATATTATAAATTTGTACAGATAAACAAGTTCTATATTACTGTAATTTATGTTTAAGGATTGTTAATATAATATAATATAATATAGACTAGCTCTATACTATATTTCATTTTTGGTTTTATATTACAAACATATTCTAACAGATAAACATGCTCTATATTAATATAAACTCTGTTTAAGCATTGTTAATTAAATGGAAAACATAATTAAAAACACACTCAATATTAAATTAAGTATGTTCCAGCACTGTTCAATTAAATGTAAAATATAAAAACTCATGCTATCCATATACTGTATTTCATTTTATATTATATATTCTTATAAAGTTCTATATTACTGTAAAGTATGTTTAGGCACTGTTTAATAAATAAATAAATATAAATATATAATATAATATGAAGCTTAAACATCATAATCTCTGCATCCTGACTAGATCTCTGTGTTAGAATAGAAAACATAAAACAAAATATAATAGAGACACCGTGTGATGTAAGGTACATTTTATGGGATGGTATTTTTATTTGATAGGATAAGCCACCCCTCTACGCATTTTACTGTCTGTTTACACACTTATCATAATGTAACGATGCTTAACTATACTGGCCCTTAATGAAGATCATATTTACGGGTTAGAATCTATAACCTATGAATACCACCCAGGGCTTCCATAGGTGGGGTTTCTCACCAGCAGCTCTCAGACCACTTTGCAGGAGTCAAGGTATTTATGCTCCCAGCATTACAGTGGGGCAGGGCTATGCTAGCACAGATGGGGAAACTGAGGCACAGAGGGGTTAAAAGACTTGGCCAAGGTGTGACAAAGTGGGCAGTTTGGGTAATATTTTGATGAAGACTGTGTGTGCCTCAGTTCCCCTCCCCCCCCCCCCCTCCAGTGACCCGGTGTGGGGGGAGAGGATTATACTCACTCTCCGGGCAGGCCAAGAGACACAGGTGTGTGCATGCCACCCAGCTGTCTGAGAGGGGAAGGAACTGAACAGGTCCCTGAACAGACAGTCCAAGGCCGGCCCATATCAATGGGGAATCAGAGGAGACGCTGGCAAACTCACTCGCCAGGACAGGGCCAACCAGCGGGGGACGGATCGCCCTGCCGCTCTGCAGGGAGCGGAGCAGAGAGGGCTGGGGGAGTAGAAGGGTAGGCTCAGGAGGGAGTCTGGGGGCTGACTAAAGGAGGGAGTCATACCACCCCTAATAAATAACTCATAACGTACAGTGCCTGGCGCGATGGGGTCTGGCACCAGCATTGGGGCTGTTGGGGGCTACCGTAATACCCCTAATAAATAGCACTCAGTGGGCACGGGAGCTAGCCCTGACTGCCAGCTGCCCAGCTCTGACCCACGTCCCTCCCATGCTCTCACCCCGGACGGCCCGGACGCAAGCTGGGAGCAGTGACCAGGCTGCACCCCCAGCAGGGATGTCATCACAGGGGGGAACTGGGGAAGATTAACGCCCCCTAGAGTCACTGCGTCTGCCAGCCCAGCCCTGCCACTCACTCCCAACCTGCAGCCCCCTGCTAGCCCAGCCCTGGGCTCCCCACAGCCCCGAGTTCCCTGCCCAGGGAATCTCGCCCAGTTCTGGGTTTCTCAGCCTCACTTATCTAGGAGCATTTTCCCCAAATTTAGCTCTGAGATCCCCAGCTCTGGGAGGGGAGGGGAGTCTAGTGGTTAGCGCAGAGGGGTGGGGCTGGGAGCCAGGTCTCCTGGGTTCTCTGATGATAATCACGTCTGAGGTCCTATGATTTCCCGCACGTCCCATGAGGCCCCTCCCTTGTCCCTGCCTCCACCAGAACCATCATCCCAAATCCTGGCACACCCCCATGAGGGGACCCGTCTCTCACCACTCCCCACCCCCCATGCGAGACCCCCTGAGGGGGGGGAAGAAAGGAGAGGACGCAAGCGGAAAGGGGGAAGAAGAGGAAACCCCCCCCCCCCCCCCGCCGCTTACCTTGCCTTTTCAGTCACTGGCCATTCTAGGGGGGCAGACAGGACAGACGGATGGAAGGAAGGACGGGACAGCCCCCTTCCCCCATGCTTTATACCTTCCCCCTGATGTTTGGGGGTCAGATTTTGGCGGGTGCCCAGGGGGAGAAAGAGAGCGTGACTGCTTCTCTCGAAGGTCGGGGTGGGGGACACAGGATGGATGGATGGATGGACGGACATGGCAGGAGGCGGGGGGGGAGGAAAGAGAAAGGAAGGACTGGGGGGGCGCTGCCAGGGTGTGAGGGAACGAAGCAGACAATGGAAAGGAGAGTCGCAGACGGAGGAAAATGCCCAGAGCATGGCACGGTGCCAGGTCCCTGACGCCCGCCCCAGACAGTGGGCACTGCTGCCAACACCCCCCCATCCCACCCGGCACCTGGGCTGTAATGGGGGTGCACGGGGCTGGGGGGCCTCGGGGCAAAGCAGGGGCCCTTAATGAGCAATACCCCCCCAAACACCCAGCCCGGGGGAGGGGCCATTCGAGGTGGGGGGAGCTGTGTCTGTCTGTCATGCCTCCCCCAGCGAGCGGGGGGTTGGGGGGGGGCTGGCATGGCTGGGCACGTTGCCGTGGTGACCGCTGCCATTGTCTGGCCGGCAGGTCGGTGCCCGCCTCCCCTTCCCCGGGCTGTAATGAATTCACATCACCGCACACAGCAGACACCACCCCTCAGCGAGCCCCCCCACCGGAGACAGACACCCCCCACCAGAAATACCTCCCAGGCCTGTCAGCCAAATACAACCAGCCTGAGAGCATCTGCCTCCTCTAAACCAGCGAGAGCCCCCGCATCTGGCAGCCCCCCAGACTGCCCCCCTCCATTGCCCCATCCCCAGAGCCCCCAGATACCCTGCCAAGCGCCCTGGCAGCCTTCCCCCCCCAAGTAGAGCAAGGTGGGGTGGAGGACATGGGGGGATGGGGAGACCCAGTCTAAACAACCCCCCCACAGGGAAATGCCTCTCCCGGGGTGGGGGGCCTCCTTTCCCCCCTCAGGACTCCAGCTGTCACTCTCCACCCCTGGAGATCAGTGGGGTAGGGGGGTTGGGGGATGGGTCAAAAAGGGGCGGTCGATGAAGCGGGCAAGGTCAATGGGGGGGGTGTTCCCAAAATGGGTGGGGCCAATGGAGAGAGAGGCTAAGAGGGCTCAATTTCATAAAGGGGAGGAGTCAATAAGAACATTCCATTAGGGGTGGGGCCTATTGGGGGTGGGGCTGATGGGACTGGGCGGGGTTAATGGGGTGGAGTCAATGGAGGGGGGGCCAATGGGAGTCGATTCCGTAAAGGGAGGAGCATTCCATAAGGGGGTGGGGCCCATTGGGGGTGGGGCCAATGGGAGGAGGGTCCTTAAGGGTGGAGTCCAGAAAGTGGCGAGGCCAATGATGGGGTGGGGTGGCCCTAAGGGGACAGTCGATGATGGTTCTCCATGAGGGGAAGGGGCCTATGAGGAGTGGGGGGTCCGAAGGGGCCTGGTCAATGAGGGGCGGGGTCTAGGGCAGGGTTCTATAAGGGGGAGGGGCCTATGGGA